AATGAGGATTAATATGATAAAAGTGCTTTACAAGCCCCAAAATGCTGGCTAATTGATGGAGTTGTTGAGGTATTAACACTTTGAGCATTTACTAATGAAAGTTGTCCCATAGAATTAGAAGTTAATATTGATGGTTTGGTCTAATTGCCTGTTTTGTTACAATCTGTTTTCTTGTGTTGTTTAAAAAAAAATCCAGTTATTTGATTCTTAATTTCTCTTTTGTCTTACTGCTAACCTGCAACTGGAATTGTACAGTTGGTACAACTTAGAATTGCCTTAATGACCTCAGAGTATCTTTTAAATCTTTTTAAATCTTTACCCAAGAAAGTAATATTTTAACTAAAGCTAGAATAGTTGTTCAGATATCTCAGCAGAAATGTTTACTACCTTATTTTTCCATCATCCATGAAAATAAAGCATCTCATGGCATTTCTTCATTCTGTTGGTTACTGGGTCATTTCTAGATATTTGTGATTATGCCAGTCATAAAAGATAGGCAATATTTTTCTGTTCTAGAAATACAAACAAATTATGGCATCTTTTGGTCCTTAAATAAAAAATATTGGAGAAAAATAGTCATTCACATGATACAAGTGATTAAAAAACATTTTGGTGTGACTTTTTTCATATGGGAGAGTGGGTTTCAATGAAGTTTATGCAAATTGAAGAACCTTATTTCAGAAAGTTTTCATCATTTGATTTTTCATCTGAGGCTGATAAAGATGGAAAGGTAGGCATGTAAATACTGCTTATAATACCCAGATTAGGGCATTCTTTGAATTCAGCTGTATGTTTTAAGATGAATTACAGAAAGTATTTCTTTTTTTTTTTCCAGAAAGTATTTCTTAAGGTGGTTAGCAGAATCTGTCATCCAGGTTTGTGGGTTTATGATGCTGGCTGCTTGGTGGGTTGCTTATACTATATTAACAGTCAAATTTATTGTTGAGACAAATATTAGGCTTAATCTCTGTTTGAAGAGTAGAAAACAAAACATTATACCCTTCATTGTGGTGTAACTTGGTCTAATCTTGGAATTATTTTGTTCTCAAAGAAATGAGACAAAAATGTGTAAATGGTTGCACCAAAGTTAATCACCACTTGTCTTATCAAGGCAAAAACATTTAAATAAAGGACTGCTAAATTTATTCCTTTGTTTATTCAAATGTATATATTCAGAAGCTTCCCTGGTAGCTCAGCTGGTAAAGAATCTACCTGCAATGCAGCCGACCCCAGTTTGGTCAACACCGAAATCAGATTTGTGCTTTGCTGGAGCAACTGTGAAGAGAGACCCCGCATCCAAGGTAAGAGAAACCCAGGTAAGATGGTAGGCACAGAAAGAGGGGATCAGGGGGAAGACAGACTGAAACTACAGTCACAGACAGCTAGCCAATCTGATCATATGGACCACAGCCTTGTCTAACTCAATGAAACTAAGCCATGCTATGTGGGGCCACCCAAGATGGTCAGGTCATGGTGGAGAGTTCTGACAGAATGTGGTCCACTGGAGAAGGGAATAGCAAACCACTTCAGTATTCTTGCCTTGAGAACCCCATGAACAGTAAGAAAAGGCAAAAAGATAGGACACTGAAAGATGAACTCCCCAGATCAGTAGGTGCCCAATATGCTACTGGAGATCAGTGGAGAAATAACTCCAGAAAAAATGAAGGGATGGAGCCAAAGCAAAAACAACACCCAGTTGTGAATGGGACTGGTGATAGAAGCAAGATTCGATGCTGTAAAGAGCAATATTGCATAGGAACCTGGAATGTTAGGTCCATGAATCAAGGCAAATTGGAAGTGGTCAAACAGGAGATGGCAAGAATGAACACTGACATTCTAGGAATCAGTGAATTAAGATGGACTGGAATGGGTGAATTTAACTCAGATGACCATTATAGCTACTACTGTGGGCAGGAATCCCTTAGAAGAAATGGAGTAGCCATCATAGTCAACAGATGAGTCCGAAATGCAGTACTTGGATGCAATCACAGAAACGACAGAATGATCTCTATTCGTTTCCAAGGCAAACCATTCAATATCATGGTAATTCAAGTCTATGCCCTGATCAGTAACACCAAAGAAGCTGAAGTTGAACAGTTCTATGAAGACCTACAAGAACTTCTAGAACTAACACCCAAAAAAGATGTTCTTTTCATTATAGGGGACTGGAATGCAACAGTAGGAAGTCAAGAAACACCTGGAGTAACAGGCAAATTTGGCCTTGGAGTACAGAATGAAGCAGGGCAAAGGCTAATAGAGTTCTGCCAAGAGAATGCGCTGGTCATAGCAAACACTCTCTTTCAACAACACAAGAGAAGACTCTACACACGGACATCACCAGGTGGTCGACACCAAAATCAGCTTGATTATATTCTTTGCAGCCAAAGATGGAGAAGCTCTATATAGTTAGCAAAAACAAGACCTGGAGCTGACTGTGGCTCGGATCATGAACTCCTTATTGCCAAATTCAGACTGAAATTGAAGAAAGTGGAGAAAACCACTAGACCATTCAGGTATGACCTAAATCAAATCCCTTATGACTATACAGTAGAAGTGAGGAGTAGATTGAAGGGACTAGATCTGATAGACAGAGTGCCTGATGAACTATGGATGGAGGTTTGTGACATTGTACAGGTGACGGGGATCAAGACCATCCCCAAGAAAAAGAAATGCAAAAAAACAAAATGGCTGTCTGAGGAGGCCTTACAAATAGCTGTGAAAGAAGAGAAGCGAAAGGAGAAAAGGAAAGATATTTGCATTTGAATGCAGAGTTCCAAAGAATAGCCAGGAGAGATAAGAAATCCTTCCTCAGTGATCAGTGCAAAGGAATAGAAGAAAACAATAGAATGGGAAAGACTAGAGATCTCTTCAAGAAAATTAGAGATACCAAGGGAACATTTCATGCAAAAGTGGGCTCAATAAAGGACAAAAATGGTATGGACCTAACAGAAGCAGAAGATATTAAGAAGAGGTGGCAAGAATACACAGAAGGACTGTACAAAAAAGATCTTCATGACCCAGATAATCACGATGGTGTGATCACTCACCTAGAGCCAGACAGTCAGGAATGTGAAGTCAAGTGGGCCTTAGGAAGCATCACTATGAACAAAGCTAGTGGAGGTGATGGAATTCCAGTTGAGCTATTTCAAATCCTGAAAGATGATGCTGTGAAAGTGCTGCACTCAAAATACCAGCACATTTGGAAAACTCAGCAATGGCCACAGGACTGGAAAAGGTCAGTTTTCACTCCAATCCCAAAGAAAGGCAATGCCAAAGAATGCTCAAACTACCGCACAATTGCACTCATCTCACACACTAGTAAAGTATTGCTCAAAATTCTCCAAGCCAAGCTTCAGCAATATGTGAACCGTAAAATTCCAGATGTTCAAGCTGATTTAGAAAAGACAGAGGAACCAGAGATCAAATTTCCAACATTCGCTGGATCATCGAAAAAGCAAGAGAGTTCCAGAAAAGCATCTATTTCTGCTTTATTGACCATGTGTGGATCACAATAAACTGTGGAAAATTCTGAAAGAGATGGGAATACTAGACCAGCTGACCTGCCTTTTGAGAAACCTGTATGCAGGTCAGAAAGCAACCATTATAACTGGACATGGAACAACAGACTGGTTCCAAATAGGAAAAGGAATATGTCAAGGCTGTATATTGCCACCCTGCTTATTTAACTTATATGCAGAGCACATCATGAGAAAGGCTGGGCTGGATGAAGCACAAGCTGGAATCAAGATTGCAGGGAGAAATATCACTAACCTCAGATATGCAGATGACACCACCCTTATGGCAGAAAGTGAAGAAGAACTAAAGAGCCTCTTGATGAAAGTGAAAGAGGAGAGAGAAAAAGTTGGCTTAAAGCTCAACATTCAGAAAACTAAGACCATGGCATCTGATCCCATCACTTCATGGCAAATAGATGGGGAAAAAGTGGAAACAGTGTCAAGACTTTATTTTGGGGGGCTCCAAAATCACTGCAGATGGTGGTTACAGCCATGAAATTAAAAGACGCTTACTCCTTGGAAGGAAAGTTATGACCAACCTAGACAGCATATTAAAAAGCAGAGACATTACTTTGTCAACAAAGGTCCATCTAGTAAAGGCTATGGTTTTTCCAGTAGTCATGTATGGATGTGAGTTGGACTATAAAGAGAGCTGACCACTGAAGGATTGATGCTTTTGAACTGTGGTGTTGGAGAAGACTCTTGAGAGTCCCTTGGACTGCAAGGAGATCCAATCAGTCCATCCTAAAGGAGATAAGTCCTGGGTGTTCATTGCAAGGACTGATGTTGAAGCTGAAGCTCCAATATTTTGGCCACCTGATGCGAAGAGCTGACTCATTTGATAAGACCCTGATGCTGGGAAAGACTGAGGGTAGGAGGAGAAGGGGACGACAGAGGATGAGGTGGTTGAATGGCATCAGAGACTCAATGGACATGAGTTTGAGTAAACTCTGGGAGTTGGTGCTGGACAGGGAGGCCTAGCATGCTGCGATTCATGGGGTTGCAAAGAGTCCGACACAACTGAATGACTGAACTGAACTGAACTGAAGGTATTCAGAGATCTTGCTCTGTGCCTGGACTGTTCTAATGTTGAGGTTTCATCATGAGTTACATATACATAATCCCTGTTGTCCTGAAAATTACTCTCAAGGGAAGAAAGCAGGTATTATTCATTTGGAAAGATGTATAATTGTTAAATGTTAGGTGGCATAAAAAAAAAGTATAAGAGGATAAGCTTCTGTAAGGAAGTGATATTTGAGCTGAAATCTTAAACATGAATAAGAAGTACATGTGATTTATTCTTGAGTTGCTTGTCTAAAAGGCACATGAAAGGGATGGTATTAAATTTCATTTTTTTTCTTTTGACAAATGGGTGGCAACCATGTCTTACTGTGAATGGCTTTGCTTTTATCTAGGAGAAGCTGCATTGGGTCAGAACTGGTAGACTGGCTTCTAGAACACTGTCCTTTCATCCAGTGCAGATCTATGGCCATAGGGGTCTGGCAGCTCCTACTGGACATGGGAATTCTGTCATCAGGTTAGTACTATATGTTCTGAAGGCACAGAATGCTGAAGCTGTTTAGCTGCCTGACCAAAATGTGTTTGATTTTCTAGATATTACAATCTAGATGGAAATTGTTTTTGCTGGTAAATATTTGTGTTCTCTTATAAATGAAAGTGGCATCTTCTGTTATTTCTCATACCTTTTGATACTTGCTGATTCATTAACTACAACCTGTAAGAGTCTTTCCCTTATCCCATCTCTTCTCTGCTCAAAATGATGCTCACAATTTTTTAAAAAGATCAGTGGACATCTTTAGTTGCTCTAAATGTGTGATTTGTCTTGCTGTACTTAGAATACTCATTAGAAACTGACTATATGAATGAACAGCTAGAAATATGATCTATGAAAATAAACTGTTTAATAGAAGAGAAAATCGATGTTAACTGGATACTAAAATTGGAGAAGGAAATGGCACCCCACTCCAGTATTCTTGCATGGAGAATCTCATGGACAGAGGAGCCTGGCAGTCTATAGTCCATGGGGTTGTAAAGAGTCAGGCACAACTGAAGCGACTTAGCACAGACACTAAAATAGATGGTGAATATCTATTTTCTTTGTTGAGTCCAGGGAACTGACGAATTAGAAGTTAAGCAGCCTGGATTCTTTATTTACCTCTACCACACAGGTGCTGGGTCACTAGGAAGCTCTTTTCTTCTCTAGGTTATACATATTGAGGGTCAGAAAACAAAATAAGTTGCCTAAAGGCATACCAAGTCCTGCTGTGGGAAAGTGGTACAGATGGGCATGTGGGTGTCCTCTTAGTTGGTCACACCTAGCACCTGATGCTGTTATTTAGAAAAGCGGTTAACTGCCTTTGAGGATTATAATTATCAGCTTCCTTGTGAGGCTCAGGTTTCTGGTTTGCAAAACATTTTATGTTAATATTTTTAGGAAGTGTCTCCACTTCTTGATCCCAGCCTTGGTAGTGTTGGTATTTTCTGCCATATAATTCTTAGTTGCATGGGAGGGGGCTGTCTTGTACATGATAGGATGTTTAGTAGCATCCCTTTCTTCCAGCTCCAGATGCCAGTAGCACCACCTAATCATGGCAACTCTGAATGTCACCAGACATTGTTAAATGTCCTCAGGGAGGGAAACAGTTGCCCCTCGTTGAGAATCCCCTATCTAAAACTTGGCATAGTTTTGTATTTGTATACCATTTAAGTAATTAAATGTACTGCTTTGGGACACTAAAGGAAAAAAAAGAAAGAAATCTCTTATAATTCCTTGGAATTGCTATTGATTTCACCTGTCCCTGAAGCAGAAGTGTTGTAAAATCCATGTGAATGTGCTGACTGAAGTTTCAAATAATAAAAATAGCTTGGTCAGTAAGTCCTTTTTCATTCACTGTGATTGTAAGCATGAATGGATTTAATTATGGTCCTATCCCTAGCTTCTCCCTAGTAATTAGTAGGCCTTTCAGTTTATTACTTGGTTTATGACTCTGTAAATAATATACTTTAGAAAACTGATCCTCACCTTTTTTGTTTCCAACAGTGGACCAGCATTTATACTTTCAGGACACGTATGTTTTCTACCAGATTTCATCTGATGAGTGTAACTACTTGTACTGGGAGTTTGAGGGAGAAGAGGCATGGCAGAATGGTGTCAGACTCTTGCTGCAGCTTGTGCCTCTCATTCCCAGTCGAGCTGGCATCTGTGAACTGTAAGTAGATGCTGTTTTGCTCCATTGTAAAATTATTCTCACTTCGAGAACCATCCCTGTGTCTGGGGACGGAGCTCTTCTTTTTAAGACCATCTCCTTTAAAAAGTAATTGTTTTATTCCCATTTTTCAGATGTAGGTTCAGAAAGGTAAAATGATGAAAATTCAGCCCATCATGAACTGGTGTTCAAACCCCAGAAGTCCATGCCCTGCCAGCTGTACCATACTGCTTCTGATTTAATCATTGCTATATGAGTAGATGGTCCAAATTGGGAATAAACATGATTTAGCTGAAGTTGGAATAAAATAATAACCAACATCTTATCTTCTAGCTAAGTCATGACTTTCCTAAGAAAAAGCTCAACAGACATTTCTGCAAATAATCTAGAAGCAACATTTGGCAAATTAAAACCCATGAATCATTATCACATGAAGATACTGAGTCACTATATGATTAAAATGAATTAAAATGAATTCATTAGAAGAGATTTGGGAACAGGACTTGAGTCATGATATGATGAATCTGACATGCCTTTGTTTATCCACAGCATTCATGACAAGATTATTTCAGTATAATCAATCACAGATTAAAATTTTTATTAGTAACTTTTGTATATTCAGTTTTTAGAATACATTGAAATTAGAGGGCAAGTGGTATTATCCTCATGGGTAAGAAAACTAGGTTCAGGGAGAAACCCATACAACCATAGCAAAAATGAATTACTCTTGTTTAAAAAAGACAGTATTGAACAGTTAATACAGTCTTTTAGAAAAGATAGAAATATCAGAATAAGACACTAACAGGTTGATTGTAGAGAATGTACTTTGTGTCAGGAACTATGCTACATGCTTTATATTTGTTATTTCATCTTCCGATGAATTGTATAAAGCAGTTTCTATTATTTTAAAGTGAGGAAACTGAGGCATACAGATCAGGTAACCTATCTAAAGTCACACACGTGGTGTGTGGCACATCCCATGTCTGGCTGGCTGTTACACCCATGCTGTTAACACCTGCTAGAGTGTGTGCCTAGGAGTTATGGGGGTCATTCTAGCTTCCCTTCTGAGATGTGATAATCAGAAGCTATAAACATGTTAGACTGACTCTGAAATGGTTATGAATTCAGTGTCACTGGCACTGCCACTGTTCATAGAGGACCTTGTCATGGTAAAGCAAATTCAAATAGAATGCATCATTCGACTAAGTACAGAAAATGTTTCCTAATGTAATATACTTTTAATATAGGCCAGAAGTTTCCCAGGAAAAGTCAAGGAACATTTCAATAAATTTTAAAAAGCTTTCTAAGTAAGCTAGAGGTGGCTGTGACTTTCTGTGATTCCATGGACTGAGATTCTCTGGCAGCTCTTCTTAACCATTTCCTCTGCTGAATTCAGAAGTGTGTGCAGTCCTTATGGGTGTACCGAGAGTAATGGGGGCATTAGGGGGTCTGCAGTAAACTTGCAAGCAGTCCTCATGGTTAGCTCCACTCCTTTCTCCCCACTGAGAAAGCAGATTGACATGCCAGTGAGAGGACCTTGTTACAGGGAAACCCTAAGTCTGATGCAGGTTCTAAAAATGAAACTCTTTGAAAAAATTTGGTTCCTAATATTAACTGCATACTACATGCAGTCTTTTGTCACTCCAGTCACCATCATAGTGCCGTGCCTGTGGAGTTGACAGTCACTGTAGCATGCCTTGTCAGCACATTCTTTTTCTCCTGGTGTGATTGTGTACATTTGGGAGTGGTAATTCCCCTGGGAAAATTGGCAGTGGAGAGCTATAGACCTGTTTAATCCCATATCATAAGTACAAACTATGAAAAGATAAAATTACTGAACCTACCACAAGTCTCTTCTAGAGATAATATATCTTTTTTTTCTCTGTACTAGAGTTATAAGCAAACTTCTAAGCTCTGGTAAAATGTTTTGGGCCTACTTTTTGTAACCTAATCAAAGATTAGCTTATCCAGACTTGGAATCAACTATGGTCAGAGAAAAGGAAGGTGTCCAGGAACATCATCCTCTTCCAGCTGTGTTGTCACAGCCCTTCCTAAGGTTCAGTGCATATGATCCCAGCATAACTTCTGTTCCAATCTGGTGATGTCCATTCATTGTAGCCTAAATCCCTCAGCTGTTTATTCCCTCGCGCCCTTGTGAAGTTCTGCTCTTTCCTTGTCTGGTCAGGTTCTTCCCACCCCTCAAGGGGGAGCCCAAGTCCTGCCTTGACCACAGAGCTTCCGTGGTGTCTGCAGTCTGTGGCAGCCTTGTGTAGTATAGTGTGTTAGTCGTTCAGTCGTGTCCGACTCTTTCTGACCCCATGGACTGTAGCCCACCAGCCCCTCTGTCCATGGAATTCTCCAGGCAAGAATACTGGAGTGGGTTGCATGCCCTTCTCCAGGAGATCTTCTCGACCCAGGGATCGAACCTGAGTCTCCCATATTGTAGGCAGATTCGTTACCATCTGAGCCAACAGGGAAGTCCTCACTTTTAGTACTTTACTGCTCTCACTGTTTGTATCAATTTTTTTTTCCATTCTTCTATGTCATTCTTGGTCCTATGGTATCCATTTCACTATATTATCCATTCTTTTTTTTTCCATTTATTTTTATTAGTTGGAGGCTAGTTACTTTACAATATTGTAGTGGGTTTTGCCATACATTGACATGAATCAGCCATGGATTTACATGTATTCCCCATCCCGATCATTCATTTTTACCCATTCTAGTGAAATGCCCTCTAAAGTCCTCTTGCCTCATTAACTTACATTGTCTGTTCACAAGCTGAAAATCCAGTCCTGTGGTTCTTTTAATAGCCTTTTTGATATCTGAAGGCTGCAAAGTTCTACCTGTGCAATTCGACACTGGAGTCCCTCTAATTTGCTGACTTCTCTCTAATCCCTTTAACACTATATGAGGAAACTACTTCCTGTCTCTTTGTAAATACAATTCTGTTCTTTAAGGATGCATTTTTTAAAAGGAAAAAAAAGATTTTTTTCCATTTAAAATAAAATGTTTAAATCAGGAAGGAAAATGGAGCTCTTGCAGAATTTTAGGCTAATGTGAAGAAACAAAATTCCTCTTCTATACAAAATAACTTTTATATCTAAGCTGAGTAGATCATTTGGAAGAAGTGAGTGCATTTGTTGTCAAGGGTAATCCCTGGGGGAAGAAAGAACAACTGTGGTAATTATTCAAACTGAAAGCCAAATCAAGTCATCCAGAATGTACTTTTTTCTAACTCTTTTTTTATTGGTGTGGGGGGAGGAAAAGTGATGGGGGGAGCTTAGGAATACTGAAGTCACAGTGTAGGGAAAGGCAGCCTAATAATTCCTTCAGGACGAGTAAGACACATTTCTCTCTTAACACTGACCCATTGGAGAATTTAGGCTGCGTGGGAACTTGGCTGTTTTAATCCAATGACTTGTGTTACAGCCCTCCCAGCTTGCCCAGGGGTGGGAGTGGTGGTGCTCTGAATAATTGAGTCTGTGATACATAAAACTGTATTCTATCAATTACAGGTCAGTTAACATTTATGCAGGCTTCCCTGATTGCTCAGGTGATGAAGCATCTGCCCACAATGCAGGAGACCTAGGTTTGATCCCTGGGTTGGGAAGATCCCTTGGAGAAGGAAGTGGCAACCCACTCCAGTACTCTTGCCTGGAAAATCCCATGGACGGAGGAGCCTGGTAAGCTACAGTCCACAGGGCTGCAAGGAGTCGGACACGACTGAGCGACTTCACTTTCACTTTCTTTCACTTTAACATTTATGCTGCTGCTAAAAGAATCATAGAGGATTCTAAAATTTAAATCATACTGCACCAGAGACGGAGGTGCCTTGTAGGCCGCCGTCTATGGGGTCGCACAGAGTCGGACACAACTGAAACGACTTAGCAGCAGCAGCACTCAGGCAGGTAAAGAAAAATATAACTTTATTTTTCTCTAAGCGATCCGTTGTTTGCTCTCCACATGAGCCTCTGTCCTGGTGCATTGCCAGAAAGAAGGAAAACTGAATCCCCATAATTTTAGCCTAATCGAGTAAAATTATTCTAGCAAGGAAATTTTTAAATATTTCTTTGATTAGCTGCTGAGCATAGTTTGTTAAAATGGTTCAGTCTGTGCCCTCTCCTTTCTCCTCAGCAAGATAGCCTTTGGGGACATGGTGAGTGCTATGGGCCCTTGACCCTGGGCTCTCCTGTCAGGGTAGCACTTTCCCATGCCCACTGATCTTGCCTAGTGACCCTGGAGTGTAACTTGGGTGAACTGTTATTGTGGAGCCAGGGCCTGGCGTTGGATCTGTCTCTCTGGGCTTGATCAAGTGCACTGTGGTCCTGGCCAATGTGCCCTCCTGGATGTGTGCTGGCATTCTGATGCTCCTGAGGCCCACAGACCTCCATTCATTCACCTGCCCTCTGCTCTCTCTCCCTGACCTTCCCTCTATACTCTTTAAAAAATCATGCCTGTTCATTGTTCCTGTTAGTGAGCAGAGCACTTAATTGGATGGCACATTCAATTCCTCACTAATCAACTGTAGGGAAAGCTCAGGCCAGTGGGTTAAGAGGATTTTGTTGACATTCATGACTCCATGTTCTAAACAGAGAAGCAGACAGGTGGGTGTTTGAGGTAGATGGTACAGTAAGGAAAGCAGGAAGTCAGGAAGATGGGTGGCATGTTAAGATAATCCAAGGCAGCTTGACATGTCTGGAGCAATAGGTCACAACCAGTGAAACTCAGAACCTTAAGAGGAGTGGGGAGCAGGCTCAGATTGATTACAGGGGTCTGAAAATCTACAGGGAAGCCAAGCATTATCTTTGTATTGAAAAAAGAGAATGGCTTAACTGTATATAGATGCTGCTAAAATAAGTAAGATACAATTTACTTGAATTCATGGTACTATTTTGGTCGTATATTTGCCCAACAGGTACAGAGTTTATGTGTCTTTGATCTATTTCTCTGCTAAAGGGGACCCCCCACTCTAATAAGATGGCCTTCCCAGGTGGTTCAGC